ACACATAGCTCTTTTCTTGATTTATGCAAACCTTAATATGGGTGGCTGTTTGCTATAGTAAAGAGGCATTTGTAGTTTGAGTTTTAAATGGTGCTTTGTGCTGCCTCCTAGTGTTTTTCTGTCTTGGAGTGAATGACACTCATTTTATATTTCTCTCTCTGAGCTGAAACATGCTTGTGAATAAAGTATTGGTATACCCTCAAGAAACTCATTATACTCTAAAAGCAGCCTTTCTTGGGCCTTATTAATAAGGTTATCTTTTAGCACTTTGGAAATACTAAGTAAGTGTCTAAGTGATACTATGTGTAATGAAATCTTTTCAAACTTGCTTGGTCTAAATTCAGAATTTTAAAAGGAGATATAGTTCATGCACATAGTTATTGAAGTAGGTCACGGATTTATTGTTTAGAAGGGCAATGTACTTTAAAGAGTAAGAATTATGGGTAGTTAATGGATCAGTGGTGTGCACATTGGAATTCTGGATTTCTCTTGAGTAGTGGGGGAGACAAGAAACAAGCCAATATACCATGTGTGATAGTGCCCTAGTGAGGCCTGTGTAATAGAAAGAGATGACTTCTGATTTAAGAGATTGGTGTCGAGCTCACAGAGGAGGGGTTGAGAATAACACTGCAGGGAGAAAGGGGTGGGGGAAAGATGCTTTCAGGGAATAAACAGGATGTACTGTGGTTTAGTAGGAACGGAAGGTATCTAATTGGTGACTCCTTGGCACGTGCTGTCACAAAGCCCTATGTGGGTAACCGGCAGCAAGCCCCATGGGTAGTGAATGCTGGAGGGGATGCCTGGGGAAGGGGCTTTCAGGCTAGCCCTTGAGGGAAGGGAAAGATTTGATTAGGAATCTAGGTGTTCCCAAAAGGAGAGAAAGAGAGCAAAGGCACTAAGATAAAAACAAGGACAGTAAGTAAGATCAATTTTACTCTGTTGAGGTTAAGAGAGAGAGAAGTTAACCACACTGAAGGATCTTGAATGCAAGGCTAATGAATTTAAATTTTATCAGGAGTGAACTGAGTGTTTTTTTTTAATGGATCAGCTGAGAAACCTTTAGTGATCAGAGCAATGTTTCGTAAAGATGATGAGACATATGTGGAGAAGTTTTGGAGGGTAGAAGAACGATTAGAAGGAGAAGCACGTTAGGAGGATTGAATAAATTTCGTAAAGATGTTTGAAGGAGTAAAAGTCAAGGGAGATAGAAGAATTAATAATGATTAGAATTTAACCCCCAAATGGGGGTAGTGATTTGGATATTTGATGCTTTTGGAGAGAATATTCATTTAGTCAACACATTTTTTAATTGAAATATAATTGACATACAACGCTGTGTAAGTTTAAGGTGTACTGTGTGTTGATTTGAGTCAACCCATTTTAATGAGTACATATTATGTGCGGTGGACACTGGGTAATAGTGGGGAAGAGAAAAGACAAGGTCACTGCCTACATGGGCCTTGTGTTTAGTTGAGGAGACAAGACATGTGTGTGTGTGTTTATGTCAGATAATGATAAGTCCTCTGAAGAAAAGAAGCGAGGCAAAGGATAAGGATTGATGAAAACGAGGGCAGTGTTTCAGAGTCCTTGGGATAACATTTGAGTAGAGACCTGAATGAAGTGAGGAAGGGAGCCTCCTCAGGACCTGGGGAGAGAGCATCCTGGGCCGTAGCACCGGGACCAGCAGGAAGGCCGCCGGCTGGAGGGCGCTGCAGGGGGTGGGGCAGTAGGGAATGAGCCGCACAGTGTGACCACTTAGTGTCCTGAAAGCTGTGGTACAGAGTTTGGATTTTATTCTGGGTTTGACAGAAAGTTGCCACAATCTGTCTTTTTAAAAGATCCCTGCGGAGTTGAACAGGTGGAACAGTTAGGCAGCTGCTGCAGGCCTCCAGGAGAGATGAGGTGCTGGCTCAGAGCCTAGGGTAATAATAATGGAGGTGGTGAGAAGTGGGAATTCCGTATGTATTTTGGAATAAATTTGGAGCAAATTTGTTTGAGCTTGATGAGGGTCGTGTGAAATAGAAATAGGAATCCTTATCCCCACGGTCTATGTGGTGGCTTTGTGTGAATTAGAAAAAGCTACTTCTGCCTCTTGGTGTTTGTGTGAAGAAGGCTCCTTTCTTCCCATAGATGTACCTGGGCACTGGGCACCACAGCTGGGTGAGGGGAGCAGGGGCTGGGTACCCCCTAATTGGCTGGGCATCCTTGCGGGGAGCTCAGACCTAGGTGATGACTGTTTTTGGCCTGAGCAACTGGGTAATTTGTAGTGTCATCCCAAAATGAGGGACACTGTAAGAGGAGCTAAGTTGGGGTGAGAGATGGTGGTGGAAATCAAGTTTATTTTGAACAAAAGGCTGAGATGCCTATTAAACATCCCAGAGGAAATGTCAAGTAAGCGGATGGATATGGATTTTTGGAGGCTGGGTGGGTAGCCATCAGAGCTGCAGAGAGGTTTGCTGTTTTTGAGTTTGGAATGAAAATATGACAAGTAAATCGAATTAAGGCTTAGGAATAAAGATTTTAAATGTAGATTGGGAAGTCATTCTGCCCAAAGGAATGTATGAAACCTTTGAGGGAAATTATGTTGAAAAACAAGACGGATGGAGACTGCCTCTGGAGTATTATCAGGCAGTGGAAAGTGGGAAGTGACTCTGCAAAGCAGCTAATAGGAGGAAGCTCCTGGTAATCAGCATCATTGGAGACAAGGAATGAGAGGGTGGGGCATCTTGGAGAGGTCAGAAAGGTTCAGGGCTTAGGAAGGCTCCTGGAGCTTTTGAGAGTACTATTAAGAGCTAATAGTGGGTGTGAAGGTGATCTGCAGAGAATTAAAAATAGAAACTATTCTTAGAAAATATGGCCTAAAAGGGGGTAACAATGGGGTTTTATTTATTGGTTTTTCAAAATAGGATGAAGTTGTGTCTGTATTAAGGCAGAGATAAGGGAACCAGTGAAGGAGGGAAACGTAGAAGGTGCTAGAAATAAAGGGGATAAAGGAGGGAGCAGGGCTAGGAGATCTGGAGGATATATGTTGGAGGAATAGGTAAAGAAGTGTCTCAGAAATGAGGAAGGATGGATAATTTTTGCTTTCAGGTTTGGAGGGAAGGAAGAGATAATAGATATTTGAAGCTGGAATTTTGCATAAGAGAGGAAAGACAATCTGTTATCTTAGTAAAGCTGTGGTTAGGGTCATATGTTTTGGGGGTCTCCATTGGTATTATAGGCCTGAAGAAAGTGTGAAAGTAAATCAGTAAGAAAAAAATTGTCAAGCAGTAATGAGAGACCGGTTGGAAATACAGAAAATAATTTGTAATAGCCCATCAGTGTTTTTCTGTGGGCCCAAGAGCACAAGGGAATTGAGAATTCCAAATTGATCCAATTAAAAAAGAAAGAAGTTTAGAGTACCTGGAACAGTGGTTCATAACCCAGAAGAGTGTGTATCAAAATCACCTGGAGACTTTTTCAAAAGACTGTTTTCCCTAAAATGTATCGAACTGAGGTGTGGGAATAGGACAACTAGAAATTGGAAGACAGATGCCTATGTAAACCTTTAGAACATTCTGGGTGATTCCATTAAGCTCTTTCCCCTCACCCCCATTGAGAAAACTGTTCTGGACTCAGGGTTAGTAGGAGACTGACCACAGAGTGCAGGCTGGGTGGGCGTAGTAAAGAGTAGCTGGATGGGAAGCTAATGAACTGAAAGAGTTAAGAGGGGTTTTGGGATGATCTCAACAATATAGTTAAGTAGTAGTGAAATTTAGGGGGTGTGCTTAGCTGGATAGGTTCCTGTACTGCAGAACTTTACAGGGCCATCCATGTGCTCATGAATCTTCAAGAAGGGGATTTAATATTTTAAGAAAATATCTGAACACGGAACCCCTTTTTTCAGTGGCACATTTGTGAACTAGTTTCTGCAGAACACATTTTGAAAATGCTGAATTAGGAGTTCAGCAGTGGTTAGTTCCAGTTCAACTTAAAAGTTCACAGGTTGTGGGGAAAATAAGCCATAGTGGAAAGGGGGAGTGTCCAGGTTAAGCCCCAGCTCCAGGAAGCACAGCTCCCAGGGCCGTGGCTTTGTTAGTGGATAGCTGGGTTACTTTCCATCCCTCCAAGTAAACTTCTGTTTTCTACCATTGAGTCCGATATCAGTTGAATCATCAATATGAATGTTTAAGTTGCAAAGATTGAGACAAAAGTGGTGATTTATTAGATATTGACAGTGTATGTTCAGTAGTTTGGTTTCTCAAAAACACAGTTGGATAGTCTTGATGAAAGCAGACCAAAATCCAGTGGCCTTCAGGATAACTAGCCTTTTCCTTAAAAAGGACAAGAAAGTAGGTGCTGTCAAAAGAAGATACACTTTGAAGTCTTGGAGCACTTAGTGGCAGTGACAGTATTTTGGGAGTTTACCACCTGTTGAGCCAAGGCACTGTCGCAGGCTCTGAGAATGCCCCCATTTGTACTGCCTGGCCGCTGAACTGAAGTCTGCCTTTCCAGTGAAGTATAGTCCTGTTCTTAAGTTTGAGATGATTAATACTGAATGTTGTCTCTTAAGGTTTCCAAAGAAGCCAGTGATTGGTGATTGGTGAGGACAGTGATTGCTGGCAGGGATTAGACATTTATATAGCATGACTTAGTTTTTAATAATGCTGTGATGTGAATTGCATGAGTATACAAGTCAGCTCACAGCACGGCTCACATACTAAGTGAGGAAAGTTCCAAACAATTTTCAGTTGCCCCAACTATGTGTGTTTCACAGGTCACAAGTTTCCATTCTTTGGTGCCAATTGATACCATCATTCCATTCCTTCCCTCATGTATCCTTATTGTTGAATTTCCCCTCCTAATCCTCTATTTTGGTTACAGCAGTGAATTTATGATAACTTTCTGTGTGTGAGCCAGCTGAAGTGTTTAAAGCACGTGGAAATCACTTACCGGTGACAAGTGTACATTCTGTGTATTTATTTTCCCCTGTGGATGCCTGAACTTTCTTTTCTTCACAGGTTAAGTCAGTGATAAACCTTTTGTTTGCTGCATATACTGGAGATGTGTCTGCACTTCGAAGGTATGTTTACAAAGTGTGTTAGCACATGGTTTAGATGTTTATGAAGTTGCTTCTGGGCAAAGGCCATTTTAGGGCTAAAACCTCACTTCCATTTCCCTCTAATAAAAATAGTCCAAACAAATTTATATTAAGTGGCCACTTTCAGTGCCTTAGTCTTGTTGTACAGTCTTTCCTTTTCCTCTGGAAACAACCTCCTATGAAAGCCCAGTCCTCTGTTTTCCCAAGCAGTAACTATTCAGCTAATCTGGCTAATTAGTGTTAGTGTTTTACTGGAATTTGGACAATGCCTTCTCAATCCCCATCTACTTGCCACTCTCCATGTTTGGAGGTGAAGGGGGATGGGCAAATAGGGGCAATGG